AATAAAACTCTGTAAGGACACGGTCTGTTGTCCTTCTTTGCCCTTGGTGACCAGACAGAAGGCCTTCATGAGCCATCTTCATTACGGTGTTTCGAAGATCCTTGGGTACTACAAGTTGCTCCAAGTCTCGCCTTTCTGCCGTGCAGTGGCGCCGGAAAAGAATGTCGCGTACCAGCACAAACTCAGTGACTGCTGGCTTCTTAGATATGACCTTCCCCAATGCGGCGAAGCAGGTTTCCAGCGTGGGATCTGCGTGCTGTAAATTCTTTAGCGCTTCCCGGCTGATATCCAGGGGTTGGATCCGAGGAACAATCAGTTCACTGGGCTTTTTCCTTTCTTTTCCTGCAGCCGCCGACATGTCATCTTGTCGTCTTCTATCTGATGAGGTTGCATCTTCAGGTTCTTCTTCAGTGCATACTGGATCATGGTGAATCTGTGCTAGTTTTGGACGTCCTGCTGGCTGCTTCGGGGCTGGTCGGGCAGCTGACAGTACACCCGCAATGTTGCCAAGGCCATACAATGGATTCTCCATACAAACAGCAAGCACCTGACCTCTGAAAAACGGAGAATCTATGTACACCTCTGCTTCTGGTAAGACTTTTGCAGATCGGTCCAATAAGCGAACGGTACGGGTGTTGCCAGTCAAGTTGCAGTCAGGAACTAGCGATCGTTTCACCACTACTGTATTGCAACCGGTATCCCGCAATACGGTAACCCGCTTCCCTTCGAGATAGCCCTTTACAGTTGGCATTTGTTTTGACCCGTTGTCGCAAGTTGTGTTGCTTTGGGTCCCATCACACATGTCATGACGATGTTTCTCATCCTGATTGTCAGGCGCATCTTCCATTGATTTCTCATGCTGCGCTTTCTGGTACCCCAAGACGGAACATGATGCCTCTCTACGTTTTCCCGAGTTTGAGGGACAACTATCGGATCTGTGCCCTGACTTCTTACAGATCCAGCACGACGTCGACTTGGGCGCTCGAGACTTTGTCCAGCAATCGGAAGCTCGATGACCCGGCTTGTTGCACAGAAAACAAAGCGGTTTTCCTTTGCTTTCGCTGACAGTGTCAACTTTAGCTGTAGCCATCGGTTTCCCTTTTTCGTCTTTTCCTCTAGCGAGATTCACAATTCCCTGAGCTTCCAAATATTGATCAGCCGTCGTTGCCAACGTGTCCAGGTTATGACATCCTCGCTCCTTCAAGAAGACAGCCAACTTCTCGTCGCACCGCCTGAGGAATTGTTCGGACACCATCTTGTCTCGCAGTGCATCATATGTTTTGGGAGTCTTCGCCAGCTCCTGCCAATGGTCGAAGTATCCACAGAGACGTCCCGCGAACTGTCGACCTGTCTCAGTATTCTCGGGCCGGGCATCCCTAAACTTTGTGCGGTATCCCTCCTCTGTATAACGGAACCGCTGGAGGAGCGTCTGCTTGAGCTTTGCGTAGTCCGTAGAGTCTTCAGCAGACATCCGTCCTACCACGGTCAAGGCTTCTCCCGTCAGACACAAGCTCAGTGACAGGGCCCACTTCTCGGTTGGCCAGCCTTGGCTCATGGCAACCCTCTCAAATCTCTGGATGTACGCATCCAGTTCGTCCCTACTCTCATTGTAGGGCGGGATCATTTTGTGTGGGCTGCGAAAACTCTGACCACCACCCATACTATCGTCCGCAGAACTCGTGCTCGGCCGCTGCGCTTCTGTGACACGACGTCGCTCCTCGAGCAGGAGCCTTTCAGCCTCCATGCGAGCTATTTCACGCTCATGCTCCACCTGTGCTGCTAGCCGTGCCTCCTCTCGATCTTTCGCTCTCTGGTCCCTCATTTCTTTTTCCTCAGCGCTCACCCATGCCAGCAAAGCCTCACCACTCAGCCCCATCTCCTTCCCTAGCTCAACTAGCTTCCTCTTGTCGTCCATTCTCGTCCGCCACACACGAACAACGTGAGGCTCTCAGATGTAAGGCGAGAGCTTAGTCCTGTCTCGCGGACGCCAGAAATTGTGATGGTTAAGGACGTTCGTCACTATGTTTGTTGACAGCGGACGAAAAAGGATTCACATCAACGATGGATGCGAACAAAAGAAGCGTTATATTGTACACTAGAGAACGTCATGGCAGGCGAAAATAAAACTATATGTCCAACCCTACACGCCGAGCGTCACGCAACATGTACGAGAGTCAGACCTCTAGCATGCGGAGAGAGCTCGCGGCTACGCTTACTCCGAGTCCAGCGCGTAGAGTTCTCAGTTCACAAGAGGAAAACGCTGCCTCACAGTTTGGGTCCCCGTCGTCCCAACATGATGCGATTGTCGACGTGCGCGAGGGCAAAGGTGGCACGGCTGGAGCGGCTGGAACGGCTTACGGCACACGGATGCGCTACCGTGTGCAGCGCCGTTTAGTCAGACGTCGCGGCCAGCAGTCAGGGTCGCAACTCCTGAGGTTCAGGGTCAGGCCCCGGCTCACGAGGACCACGCCCGGTAGGCCTCGCCACGAACCTGCTCCCGGCCACTGCACCCAGGCAGGAGCCGTTCAGCAGGCCCCGTCCTTGCACCTTGTACCGGCCGGCGGACTCGACCCCGAGCGAACACGCCGGAGCTCGACCTAGCCGACACGTACGGTTCCCACGTCCGGCTCAGGAACGCTCCCAGGCACTCGTCCTCTCGAGCGGCGCACTGCTTCGTCTGCCTTCGAGGCCTCCACGCTCGAGCTCGTCTTCTTTAGTTTCGGTTTGGCGTTCCTCGGCGCTTGCAAGTCCTTTTAGCCACAAATCGTACCTAAACACAGCACTTTTGTGTCCATTCCTTACACCAAGCAACCAGGCCAGTCAGCCATGCGGTTTGGCACTCGTATAGTCTTTGCGATTTCGCACGAACGATGAACTTTTCGGTTTCGTACCGCGGACAAACGTTCCAGTCAAGGTCTAAACCTCAATAGATCGCAGTGTGGTGGCTGCTCTACTACTTACGACAACACGACAGGTACCTGTCGTCTTCAGACGATTTGAAACTGCAGCGATTCAGGCCAGCCATAGCCCCGGAAAGAGACCAGTGGCCTCGTCAATACTCGGCCTCCGGTGTGGCGCTCTGTGGGTTCATTTGGCGTCAACGAGCCGGAAAGCGCGGTGGCCCGCCGCGCTCGACCCGTTGCTAATCTTACCCGCATTCGCCGCAAGTGCACACGATATCGTTGCAGTGCTTAAAAGGGATTCTGATTTAGAGGCGTTCAGTCGTAATCCCACGGATGGTACCTTTGCACCACTGGACTTTCGACCAAGCACGTGAACCAAGTGTCCGAATCTGCAGTTCCTCTCGTACTGAGCAGAATTACTATCACAACGACCGGTCATCAGTAGGGTAAAACTAACCTGTCTCACGATGGCCTTAACCCAGCTCACGTTCCCTATTAGTGGGTGAACAATCCAACGCTTGGCGAATTCTACTTCGCAATGATACGAAGAGCCGACATCGAAGGATCAAAACGCGACGTCGCTATGAACGCTTGGCCGCCACAAGCCAGCTATCCCTGTGCAAACTTTTCAGACACCTCTTGCTCAAAACTCTTAAAGCCAAAAGGATTAAGGGCCCCGCTTTCACGGTCTCGAATCGTACTAGGACGGAGAAAATGAAGTTCCTCGGCAAATTGTAGTGAGAGCTATAAGCTTGGATTTCCCGATCATAGAAAAAAATTGAAGTAATATGGGAAGTAATTTAGTAGAAACAAGTGAGCTAATCAAACGAATTAAGAGGTCCCTAAATATTCCCAAAACTAACGCAAATTAGCCATATTTCGAGTCATGTTCACTGTTATTGCAGTCGTATTGCCAAGTTACGATTATTTACTATATGTATTACGCAGGCTAAAATTGTTTATAGAAGAATGCAGGAACACAAAATGACATGCATTTTGCGAAAGTTATTTTCAGCTGGCCTGTAGCACGCTCTGCGTTTTCGAAGAACAAGAACAACAATACGGGTCAACTGGAAGCGAGATGCACGTTTTTGCTTTTATTGCATTATTCACTTATTAGGGTTATGAAAAAAGTCGCCTTTGTTCTTTCGCAAAATATTCGAGATGCGATTGCAGATAAAAAGCATATGTTCTTGTCGTTACTATACTTGAGAATGTTTGTGGTATTTTTAGGGCGCAACTATATTGTACCTTTTTGAGGTACTACTAAATTTAAATCAAAGAGATAACCCTGCGTCACACCATTTAGCAAGGCTGCATGCCCACTGCGTGAGACATGCCAGCAAGTGAATCAAGGCACACCACTTTCAAAAAGCATGTTTCTCATTGTAGTTATTTTTGAATCTTTCAAACTCGCACTATCGGACAAATCAAAAGCAGTCACTGTAGCCCAGTACAATATATGCGTTTGTGGTTCCATTTTGGTCAATAAAGTTTTATATTACGCTGCTGTCGTACCGGAGGTGGCGTGCACGTAAACGTCTTAACCCGAATGAACTTCTAAGACGAGAGTTTAGGCAAATATGATGCAGGGCACAATTTAGCAGTGGCTCCAGATTTAGAACTCTCGAGTCAAAATTTTACTTACTTTTTTTTCGCGCACAGCCTCGTCTCCACTTTCTTTTGCCATCCAGCCTTCCAAATAAACGCTTCTTGTCGTGCAACATTGCGGTAGGTGTGTTTAATAACATGAACCTCAGAAGCTCTTCTGCCATGATTCCGTTGCAGTCACCACTGAGCAGGTTTTCCGCCTTAACAACCGGACATGTTTACTGATGTTGACTCTGTGACAACAACACCTGCTCCTTCTCTGACTTATATGAATCCACACTCTTTCGAAGAAAAGTCTCGGGAAGACGCCAATGAGTGGCTTTTACGCCACAAATTGGGGAGCAAGAGCAGTAAACGGGATTCAAACTATTCACTTTCAAAGGTGGTGTATTCATTGTGGCTGCACGAAGGGCTTCTTGGTATTTATAGTATTCAATGTATAGCGCATCCAGGACGGGACAGGGCATAGTACACTTAACATAGCGCTGTGTTTTTGGCACACCATTTTATTTGCATTACGTGTTATCAAAGTTCTTGTTTCAAGCTTAGTAGTCACCGCAGGTTGCTTTGTCGTAGAGAGAAACACCGTTTGCACAGAGGGTGGCATGCTTTTTGAAGCATTTCTTCGACACAGTGTGTTTCATGGTGTTTCGAACCCACAAGGTGCATTCTGTAAGCAGGAAAAAAATTGAAACAGGTTCGTAAACGACGTTGCGTGGTCGACATTTGGAATGACCGAACAACAAGTTGGAGGGGGACTTTGGGGTTAATACAAATTCATATTATTGAACAGTGATGACGTGTGTGAGGTAACCAAGTGTATTATTGTTGTTATTGTTTTTCTCGGCACATGGCTCGAACCCTAAGGAGGGAATTGGCTGATTATAAGGTTATTTGTAGAAAGTGTATCAGGTTTATTATGTGATTATAGGGTGTATTGTATATCAGATGCTTGTGTAGTTTTTTCTTCTTTGTGTGTAGTGCATCGCTGTTTATATTTTCGAATCGAATGCCATTAAACTTCGTTGCTTGTAAGCGCCTGTTCTATTTTCATCCAAAACGTTCTATATCATTTTACATACTGAAAATCATAGATAAAGAGCTATAAAGTTCCACCCATAAGATATATTCAAGAAAGATCTGGTGTCTCTCTTTGTAGTAGCGACCACATGTCGAGAAAGCAGATTGAATAGATGCATAAATTTAATATTCTTGGTATTGAAAGCTTCACTGAATAAATCAATCAGAATTGCATGCCATGTTGACAAATTTGTACATAGAATAAAGGGTGACATTGTATGCGTCTACTTGGGCGGTTCATGCAAAATATATGACCCTGTCACTGCACTTGCAACGATACAGGCATGCGACCAGCCTGTTTTGCACTATTTGTCAAAAGGAAAGCGTAATATATTTCGTGAAACTGAATTGAGAACAGATACTGTATTACCACGTGCGAATGAAACAGAACGTTTCATCACATGAGCACTGAACGCTGAGCCGAACTTATTCCCAGACAGACGAGCTGGTTTGTTTGTTTGTTTCCCTAGACTGATGGCTCATACCTGCTCAGGGGGAATGGCTAAGAAAGCGTAGTGCAGTTTTTCTGTGATCAATTTAACTATGTGTAATAAATTCGTATTATATTATGAATAATGTAAAAAATCACCTAAAAAGAGAGCAAACGAGAAAAAAATAAAAAAATTAAAGTTGAGAAATTTGGAGATTTCAGGTGTTGTGATTACCACTCAGCTGCGTTTTCTTCACTTTGCCATCTAGATTTTTTTTTGGGGGGGGGAGTAATAAATAATAATTATTTGATTGAAGATCACAAAAATATACGTTTTGATGACTGAATATAATCGCAAACGGCATTGAAAGCTTCCCTATGGCAATGTCCCAAAACTGAGGCACCAAGGCTTTGTGCAGTTTCCGCCGTCAATTTAACGCCTATTTTCAGAAATGAAATAACTAGTAACCTTTTTCGAAGTATAGCGTATCGGCGACAATAGAGAAAATAATGTTCTAGTGATTCCATTTCTCCGCAGAATGTGCAGAGGGGTAATATTGTCTGATCAGCTCCGTGCAGATAAAGGTTTATGGGGGGGGGGGGACACGACATCAAAATTTAGTAATTAAAACTTCGAGTCTTCTGAACTGGCTTCAGTGGGGTCGCCATGGAAGCTTGAGGTGGTTATATTCTGTCCATGTAGTTACTTTTTTTATCGTATCAGTGGAGATTGGTGATTTTCGATATCTCATTGCTGTAATATATTCACCATCTGGTAGTATGTATAAACTCATCGGGTAGTTTTCTGCTTTGTCCTCTCTCAGGTACTCGTTACAAAAAGCAAGTGTTTCAGAAGTGTACACTGAAACAGCCTTTATAGTATATTTTGCATTTTTAATCGTGAATATTACCTGAAAACGCTTGTCTTAATTTTTGAACTATCAGAAATCACCGCATAATTAGGTGCGATAATAACAACCTAGCGTTAAACACCTTGTTTCGCCGAAATGTAGGTGTTGGGTTAGCTGGCGTCGTAGCAGGTGGTGAGTCATAGATCGAAATTGATGCGAATATACGTACAAAAAGATGATCTAGCGCTTCTTTCACAAGCTGGTGTTTTACCACCACATAAATAGGTGCTTTAGCACAAGTTTTGTTGAAAAAAAAACAAAAAAAACGCGAATGTTATGATGTCCAAACAGTTTGATTGATGTAATATTGCAAGCCAAAAGCATAAAATTTGACCAAGCATGAATTTTTATGAATTTAGCGAAGAATGTGTGATTTAGAGGCCTACATATGACAATGCAATCATGCATTTTAATCAAAAATATTGGTAACATAATCGGCAAAATGAGCAAATGCCCAGTTGGGTATGCTGCCTGACAGTTGCGTAGTGGCTATGTTGCGAATGAGTAAAAACAGGAAACAATGTTGCCATGCTAGTAAACTCTCAACATTTTTTTAGACATTCTACTGCCACATGCTTCCTGACTGATGCCCGTGGTGGGTTGCGCCATTTCTCTGAGAATCATCTTAATCATGATCATCAACTGTACTTCAGTAAGCATTGCAGTACAGTTTGAAAAGGCCTGTGCTACCCGCAGGCATTCCTGTTTTTCGGCCTTGCTGAGGTGTCCATTTTGTAGGCAGTGTGAAGCTAATAATTCACAAGGCGATGCGAACTAGGCTTGAATACACTATCTGTTTCCACTCTCGAAGGTGAAGCTAGAGTCTCTCATATTTAGAGCGTTAACAGATAAATGTATGTTAAAAAAAACGAAACAAATTATCGTAATGACCGGCACTTTTGAACGAGCTGCTGAGAAAAAAAACACAGCAGTTTTGATTAATAAAGAATTGTAAGCTGCAGAGCAAGCAATATAGAAGAGGGGATTATACATTTTTGACAGATTGAATTTTCGCTACCAATGACGACCTCATGTGTCTGATCATAGTAGGTGCCACTGCGATTGTTAATTTACAGTGCACTACAAAAAGGGCACAACTTGCTTGACCGCGATAGCATGCCTCGATGCATCCCGCAAACAAGCATCAAGGCACCCTAGACGGCAGGAGTAGGGGCGCATGAAGTAAAAAGGCGCTATTCATATTTTTCTGAGAATTGCCGTAAAAATGTCAAGTTCGCTTTCGAAAGCGTATACTCAAAGAAAAAAGCTGCTAAATTTGCTTACTGTTCGACAAACTTCACAGGCATTCACTGGCACATATCATGTGATTTAGGAGCTGGTGTCGCGATCCTGCATAGTGGGAGCCAGGAATCACGTGAATGATTTATTTGGCTAGTGGTAACACCTGTATTATCACTAAATATTTGAACTTCAAGTTACGTTTGTTTGTTCAGGACTGCATACCTAACACTTTAAGTTCATTTTGTTTTTTTTCCTCGCCCAATTCATTTATAATGTTCTTAATTGCATTCTTTTTTGTACATTCAACAGATAATGTTTCTAACATATTTGGTGAACCAATTGCCTTTTTGTGTTTCCAATTACAAGTCATCGCCGATCCTGGGAATGTTCCAACTATGTAAAATTTAGTGTTTCAAAACAATTTCTGAGGTCTATACAAAGACTGAAGGATGCTTTGGCAAAAAAAATTCCACACAAAGATCTTGGTTTCGCGCCTGGAGAAAATTAGAAAACCTAGACATTCATGAAAGCACTGTGCATACAGATCCAGCTATCCAGCTGTGATTTCATCATTACCGCCACTAGTAACATATGTCTCTGATTCAAGGAGTTGCTCCGAGCTCATTTTCTGATGCCGGGAAAATGTAGCTACCCTTTGTCGAAAAAAAAAAGCGCACTTTTTTTCCCCAACTGAACAGATAATCATATCTGACTTATGTAAGCGCGTCATGATCCTGAATTGTTGCATTTACGAAAAAGAAAATTAAAATGGACCCTTTAAGGCCTGGAAATCGATGTGGATTCGCATTTGCATGTGCGACATGTTTCTCCACCATAACCCCTCCTGTACATAATGACTGTCGCAGCGCTAATTTGCTTCTTTAAGCGCCCCAAAGCCTCGAGCTCTCTATGAAGTCGCCATTGCGCTGGCCATACTTCTATTTCTTATTAGCTCGCACGTTAAGCTGGCCACCAGAGAAAGTTCAGTCTGGGCACGGTGTAAGAACAAATAGGAACTGACACTCGGTGCTCCACGTAGGGAGAGGGCATGGGCATTTGTGGTCGCCGATGATCTTGATACACGAGTAGTTTTCGTTGCGAGTTGAGATGGCGCTACTGTATGGGGCGCCAGGTATTCGCGCGTTCAGCGTTCATTCTGCGATCGCGCGCAAACGAACTTCTTTCTAAAGGCTTTCATGGACGTTGGCGGGATTATCTATTAGGGGTGCAAACAAGGGTTGCATCAAGGCTGGGGGAGGGTGAAAGCACTATTATAGCTTGGGTGCGGGCAAGTTCTAGTGAGGATTAAGGGCAAGTGCCCCTTTCACACCGCCTTGCAGACGCCAGTTGATGTGTGCATGAAATTTTGTGGTTTAACACCGCGTTTACTTGTGCCTGTGATCGCTGCCAGTGCATTTCTTTCGCTGATTCGCCCATTGGGATTCAGTGCACGTATACCTTGACGATGTATATGACTCCAAGTACACATCAGAGGCCTTGTCGCTGGCTGCGTCTCAAAATGGGCTAATGCATTGTGTTTGTCCCGAATTCCCAGCCGAGGTATCGAACTTGTACGGAGCGTGTGGTGCTTTTAAAGGCTGCGCGTGAACTGGAGCACTTGGATAAATGGCGACCGGCAATTCCGAGAGTTGGCAGGGCCTTGCTGTCTACTGACCATGTGTGCGCCAAGAATTTCACGGAAGAAGCGATATCTGCCACATATCCCAATAATACAGGGGAACGGCCTGTTGCACGCGTCAAAGAAACTCACGCTCACTTCAAATGATTTGCCTGACATTCACTGGGCTGCATAAAATACCCCACCCTGCAGCAGAAAACCAAATAAGCTCGGCAAAAAACAGTGTCTCTACTGCCGACTTTTCAGAAGCGATGGGGGCCAAAAGGCGTTACAGCATCTGAAGTGTCTGCTACTACCGCTGAAAGTACGCCTAATTGTTTCCGCGTGTAGACAGTGACTTCACGGCATGTATATGACGAACATCGATAGGTACGCATACAAAAGGCAGTGCTTATTCTACTTCAGCAGCGACTGGTCTCTTCTACGCCAAAAGAAGGATGCTTCTCGAAAAGACACTGGTAGCGTAGGCCTATACACTTCCGACTCAGTTCCTCATCACGCCGGAAAAGAAACCTCTTGTTTTAAATTGGGATGCACTTTTTTTAGCTTTCTCAACTACACATACTTGGACCAAGAAAAAATAATTGTTGTAGAATAACCAAGGAAGAGAAATCAGTGCACATATCTGTTTCTGTGATGTCACCGCATTTACTTCTACATTCACCATTTTAACCTGCTTATAATTAGTTTACCATGCGCGATGACGTCATTCTAGATATTTTTGTTCTTTCATGTCTCTACCACTTCTTTGTAACCGTCTTGCAACATTAAAGGTGCACTTCCGATTACAGTATTTACGGCATAACATATGGTTCATTAGGGCGAAGGCCTTCAATAGCTTCATATGCTGCCTTAAACGCACAATGGGTCGTATGATTGTCGGTGGCTTAAGGGACGAGCTGCACAAAATATACTTTGATTTAGTGCGCTCACTTTCACTGTTTGATAAGCCCTTTACTAAATTGAAGTTTGCGCAGCCTAGGAAACACTACCAAGTATTACTGATCGCACTGGCCCGACAGTCTCGACATGTGTGTGTTACGGGTTAACCCGTAACACACACATGTCGAGAGCTGACCTTCGGGACCCAATGCAATTCTGACTGCTAACACTGCCAGACGCAGAAGTGGAGTCATATGCGCGACGTTAACAGCAAGACTGGCAAGGTAGCGTGTTGATTTAAGTGATATATAGAGCGCCTAAATTTTGTGGTGCATTTGTTTAAAGTTTTCTGACGACGTGTTTGTTCATTTTGCTGCAACTAGAACGCGACAGCGATATGCGCGCGCACGCGATCGAACACGCTCACACACGCAGGCACACATCACATATACGCACAAACCCACGCACGCACGCAGACTATCGCCTTCTTTATAGATAGCGTGAGTTTGTCCTCGGACTGCTATCTTTAATGCAAACCCCTTAGATTTTCTCACAGACAACGCTGCTTCTTTGTTCAGAACCAAAGATATTGACGCCAATACCGCCGACACCGAAATTTCACCGAAACGAGCTTCGTCAAAATGCGACTTCTCTCTAGAGCAACGTTTGCTGCTGTTGGAGTATTTATATGACCAAAGCACTGTTAGTAATTAGGCTGCATATACGCATAAAACTACGAAATCTGTTTCGTTAGAGCAGAAACACATTGGCATCCATGTAGTGTATATTGAGCATAATAAACAAGCGAGGCTTCACAGCAATAACCTTCATGCGGATTGGAGTGAGACCCTACTGAGCGCCTTGGCCCACCTTCCGTGAGCACCAGCTGTCGCATCATACGGAGACAGCGCAAGCGGCGAACATAATGTGAATGTGGCACCAGGCGCAGTGTCATCTCTTAACCTATTCTTACACCATGGTCTGGGGCAAAGTTAGATCACTTTAGAAAGGCGAATTTCCAAGCTATAGAACATTCTATTCTGATATTTTTTTTTTTTTCTACGGAGGTCTGTGCTACAAGCGAGTGGATGGAAGTGGAAGGAAATACGACAGAAGTAATATTTTGAAAGAATTGTGAGGCGTCCTTGAGTCCTCGTGTCAAAAAACAGAAGCCAGGCTGGCGCCCAGTTGGTCACGACCTTTGTTACCGGTCCTTCAGACAGGCTTTGCTGGGGTGGTTCGCAGATTTTAGAGGGGAATTCTACGCCTTTTATGTATAAACTTATGTTTTCTGTAACCCTATATATTGTGGACTGACTGACTCCACTCTTTATATCATAAATACTGCTAGCTGGTAATATATAGAATATAACTGGAAGAGCGGGAGAGGTTCGTAATAGTTACTGTTAAAAACCTGCAGATTGCCGTAGCTGAAGTTTACTAAGCGAACGGTTGAGTTGAAAAATAGTGGAAGCATGAACATGTTCGTTTTAATACCCCATGCACCGCTTTGCTTCTTTCGACCGCAACTGCTTTGCCAAATTCTACCATTTACATCAGGTGAGCATGTCCAACTTCCAACAATCCTAAAGCTAGCATTGTCTGTGTAGCACCTAGTGGTGAGAACAAGTGACCGTGAAGCGTCGTATGTATAGACTTGTCGGTTCTGTGGTACGTATAGTACAGATTCCGTTCTATCTAGCTTTCTCACAACATAGATCATGTTGATCACATATCTGACTCCACCATGATCAAACGTAATTTGCCTACTTCAATAAAATAGCCAAATGCGACAAAACATAGGCAGTTGTCAGATATATTGCTTGCAAGTACAGTGTATATATTGGACGTTTGTGCTTATGGTATGTTTAGTCTGAGCACTACAATCACGGTTACGCGATGTCACTAATATCATACTATGTGAGAGTTTTTTTTTTCAGCCTTGAGGCCAAGGTAGCATTATAAACCGGGGCATAGATGGTTCTTGTGGCGGTGTCTATTTGATCGTGATTTTTAAATTTGTATGTCACTCAGGATAGATTTAAACGATGCTTCCTTGAAAAAGAAAGTTATCTTCATATTTGGCAACCTGCGTGAATATTTCACTAGTATAGCAGGTTTGCTCTTACGATAGCCAAAATAGCGTAGTTCCATGACAGCACATGTCAGGGGATTATCAGCATACAGAAAACGACCAACATCCGGATGAGCGGTGTCTGAAAAAAAGATGATAATGCTTTATGAGAATTCTCGGTATTCAATTATTGTAGTATGGTTAGATAAAATAAAGTATGAGCAAATAAGATAGGCCAATCGTTGCCTCAATTCGGTATGTAGAAAATTATAGTTGATGCGTGCAAGAATGGGGAATAAGTTATACCTTTATACACGTGTACTTTATATTGTATGAAAGCTCTCAATACGCATTGCTTATTGATATCTTTAACTCTCAATCTTCACTAAGGCATGGCTTTGAGGAACCCTTATGCATATTATACCCATTCGATAAAAAGTTTTGTTGCCGTATAGCTCCTAGGCAAAAACTTCAATATCTTTTTCGGTGGAGCGGTTGTTATGAATCAATCAGGCACGAACACGACCAGCGCTCTGTGCGATCAGTCCTTCATGGTCCGTGCTCAATAGTAGTGAAATTTTCACTTTATAGAGCACCCATTGGGTGTGCTGCAACTGTACAAACACATGAAATAAGGTTAGAGGTTTTCTTTACAGCGGCTTTTTAAATACGAGTGTCATTCTGGTGTTCTCAACAACCGATTGGCTTCTTCTACAAGCGTAAGCGTTTCGATGTTAGAAGTGACTGCATATTTACGCTTTCTTTGCCGCAGTGCTATACCATCATCAGCCTGATTAGGCCAGTTGCCGAAGAAGGCCTATTTTACGTTGAGTCCAAAAATAGAGAGAGAAGAGAGGAACGCAGAGGATATGCACACGAGCTCCTATTCACCACCGATTTTATTTCCAGCAGTTGATGAAATACTTAAATGTACACACACACATATATGGCCCCGTATCTGCCTGTTACAATGCAAATTTCGTCGAAAGACGAGTCTTGCGTCTGGAGAGAGTGAACAAAACGTTTATTTGATGTTCTGCGCAAGACAATTGGTGGTTGGTATTCTGAAGGAACTGCGTTAGAGTGCCTTGAGCGTGCAGTGGATTTTCACTTTATATAGCACCCATTGTTTGTGCTGCAACTGTACTGGCACATTAAATGAGATTAGAGGTTGCCTTTACAGTGGCTTTTAAAATACGAGTGCCATTTTGGTGTTCTTCACAGCCAATTGGCCTCCTCTAATAGCATAAGCGTTTCGATGTTTGAAGTGGCTGCGTATTAACGCATGCTCTGCCGCAGTGTATTACCATCATCAGCCTGATTAGGCTAGTTGCCGAAAAAGGCCTATCCTACGTTGAGTCCAAAAATAGAGAGAGAAGACAGGAACGCAGGGGATATGCACACGAGCACCAACTAACCACCAATTTTATTTTCAGGAGTAGATGAAATACTTAAATGTACACAAACACAAATATGGCCCCGTATCTTCATGTTACAATGCAAATGTCGTCGAAAGACACTAGTCTTTCGTCTAGAGAGAGTGGACAAAACGTTCATCTGATGTTCTGCGCAAGGAAATTGGTGGATAGTATTCTGGAGGCGTTAGAGTGCCTCGAGCGTGCAGCGGAGGCGAACGAGCACATCGAGTCAAGTCACACGTGAGACATGTCGCTATCTGGCAGTTATTTTGGAAAAGAAGTGCCCATGCCCTACGCGCCAGTCTCGGAGGTGATAAGGTGTAGAACACAAGGCGACGGGTAGGTGCTGCTACCTTGTCGTCTTAGCGAAGCGTTGGAAACACTTGCCTTTTCGTGCAAACGTTACATGGTCAGTGCAACGTGATAAACGCTACGGTCCTTAGAATTACTTATGTATGCCTTTTATAGTAAGAGACACACATACGAAATATTTACGTGTTTTTATGGTGTCTCATTTTTTGCACAATAATAGCTTTTAATTGACAATCGCACAAGTATGAACACTGAACCTTGAGCAATGTTGATGTGCGTTGCGGATGTGATTGGCCGCTTGCAGTACAGTTTGGCCACTTTGGTGCCATTTACGGTACTCTCAAAGACGGAAAAACAGACAAATTTACGGACAGACAGACAGACAGACCAAAATTTTTGCGTCGAAGGTCCGCAAGAAAGATAGCCTTTAAAAATAAATAAATGTGCGAAACCTACAGCACCTTGTCCTGCGCTTGTTGCCGCTGCTAGCTCATCTCTCCTTTTCCTGAACAATCAAGTGTAGGATAGCCAGCAGGAAGTCGTTCTTGTTAAGCTCCCTGCCTTCTCCGTTTCGGTCTGCCTTCATATCATGAACAATTCTTTTTCTGGGTCAGTGCTAGTGATACCATGCTAACACATGCGTCATACTGATGTTTGCAGCTTAAATTATTTCTCGGGTAGACTTGTCTGATGAGTGCTATAAATACTGTAATAACTCAAAATTGTGCAATGCCACATATACTCATTTTTCACATGAGTAAAAACACAATATGCAACACAAGTAGAACAATATGTATTGAAATTTACTAATTAAAACTGTCATGCATGCTAAGTTGCTAGTGACTTATTATTCGGCATTTTTTACTTGCATACCTGTGAATCCCCACAAACAGCTTGGAGTTGTCTTCACATATTTAGGCACTACATCCCGTCTTGAAAGCATGCAACGTTATTTACCATGCTGCGGTTGTCTGGTCATTCAAAAATCAACTGTAAGCGCCTGACACATCGTGACGTTTAAAGCCATGTGCTCGTGGTGCTGCTTGGTGGTCTTTTTTTGTATTTTTGTGTGCTATTTAAACTTTTTTTTCGATCCTCCTATTTGACTCTTAAGTGCGAAGAATAATTTAAGGTTCAGGCTTTCAAAAATGACGACAGAAACAGTGAAGCGGAAGAGCTTTTAAGGAAATTTTAAGGCGGAGAATCAAAACAAAGACTAAATCGACGTTTTGCGGAGCCAAAAGATCCCATTGCCAATGGTCGGCATGCTAGTAGAAACTAGCCGAATGCTAGTGGAATCAGGCGTACCCCAGGAATCAGTGCTTGGACCTCTCCTGTTTGTTTTCTTTATCAATGAGACTTTGAGAGATATAGTCCTTAACATAAAGATATATGCTTATGACAGCATTAATAATTCTTGGGTAGAAAACCGTAGCGACCAAAAAACGTTAAACTCCACCTTTCGAAAAATCATAGTTCGGTACGACTCTTGGAAGATGCCCGTAAACTAAAGAAAACCAGTATTTATGCCCATTTCACATGAAAAACGAGCCCCATTTCTTCAATTATCATTGCAACAACCTCGTCTTTGCTGACGTACATTGCTATAAATATTTGGGGGTTCACATAACCAACATTCCATCCTGGAATAAGCATATCGATTATGTTGTAGCGTGTGCTAACTGACGACTATATTTCCTTCAGAAAGGCCTCAAGAAATTCATTCCTTTGGTTGTTTGCTGGCCAACAAATCCACAGTTCTGCCAGTACTGGATTTACAGTTTTTAGATTGGAACCTTTTACTTTGACGAACATCAGCATGATTGAAAATATATAAAAAGGCAGCCTGCTTTATATACAAACGTTATGGTCTTACATCTGTAAGTACATTTCTGAACAAAGCTAAACTCCCTCCAAGAACTGACAAAAACACTGAATCTTTTGTGTAAAATATGTTTATTAGTTAATAAAAAAGAATTATAAGGTAGACAATGTCCAACTATTGCATCTTTTCCTACCGGGTGTTTGACAATGCAGCACCATAAACTTTTTATCACACCATTTCTGTCTCAAAATAACTGCTTCAAGTATTTATTTTTTTCGAAGACTGCCAGTGATTGGAACAACCTAACCATCGAAGTTGTTCTACAGCCATCCTTTAAAAAGTTTGCAATATGTTCAATTTTGTAATATATATATATATATATATATATATATATATATATATATATATATATATATATATATATATATATATATATATATATATACATACATATATATATTGTAAAGAAGAGGAAGTACTCCGGCGCAGAGGCAGCAGCATCGAGTGTGCAGCAGCGGCTCGAGCTCGGAATGTTGAGCTCGAAAGGTTGGTGCTTGGAAGGCTTGGAAGGCGATGCACCAGCCGCAATTTCCGAGCTCGAGCCGCTGCTGCACACTCGATGCTGCTGCCTCTGCGCCGGAGTACTTCCTCTTCTTTACAATATATATATATATATATATATATATATATATATATATATATATATATATATATATATATATATATATATATATATATATTCTTGTGTGTTGTAGTCATGGCTGTTACTGTTGTTTTTACTTACATTGTATAAAAGCTTTCTTCCGTGATGTTTCTTCTACTGAAGTATTCTCTGTGAACTGTATCATAATTTCGTATTTATGTTCAGGTTTGGAATAATGTTTGCCTTGCTATACTTATGATTGTGTATATATATATATATATCTATATATATATATATATATATATATATATATATATATATATATATATATGTATATATATATATATATATATATATATATATATATATATGTGTGTGTGTGTGTGTGTAACGTAAGAAGGTAGGCATGGTTAGGAGTTAGTAGTAGAGGCAGAGAAGAAAGAAGTGCAGAGAATGGAATTAACACGGCGTATGAGCCAGGCCACGTCGCCCATTTATCATAGCGTTACACGAGTCGACAGGATGAAGACCTCCCAACCACTTCAACAGTGTCTCATCATCGACGCATTTCTACACAAGACACCCTGACCATACATTGACTACGGATTCATCTCCTAGCCGCACACAGCGACCAGCACCATGACAGAACCATCGACCGACCTTCCCATCCCCAAGTACACCGGAGCAGTGGACGATGGACCTGTACAGGACTGGTTCGACCTGTTCGAGTTCCACGACACCGCTGCATCTTGGTCGGAACGGGAGATGGTTGCGAACTTGAGCGACTACGTCACCGGTGAGGCATTTAAATTTTACCTCACCCACATATTCGACAACGACGAGTCTTGGCAAAAGATAAAACAAGAAATGATCGTTTGTTTTAAAAAATACTATGATGACTACGACGAAGACTTGCTTGTAACCCACCATCCACAGACAACTGC